GAATGTAGTGCCCATTAATGAAAGAGAAAAATTAGTGAATTTTTTTTTTTAAACTTAATTTAACAATGTTGTTTGATACTGTTTTATAATTGTAGTTATTAAAAGTATTGTGTTATATTATTATGAAAAATATTTTAGTATTTAGTAAGGAAATAGTATCTATTAGTCTTATTTCTTAAATATTAGGAGAAAAATCATTCTAAAATTACTTCATTTTAATAAATTTTTATTGAAAAAGATTAAATTACTTTATTTTCAAAGCATAGATTTTTATCTTTTTTCTTCTTAATTTTTAGAGGTAAGACGGACAAGTACTAATCACATTTAGTAATTATATTTTTAAAAAATTATCTATTGTAAAATTATTTAAGTAGACACATTGTTATTTCAAATTAAATTAATTAATAATTTATATATAATGTATAAAAAATTTTAGAATTCTATTAAATTATTTAAAAATTCTATTGATTTTGAATAAAATGATTTTTGTATTCTTTTTTAAAGAGTTAATAATAGATAATTTACTAAATGTATAAATTACAAAATATTCTATAAATATATGTGAAAAATAATGTAGGCAGTTATCAGAGAGGAAGCCTGGCTTTGTTTGTCCCTTATGCAACTTTTAGGCCGTTCTTGCTATGAGGTTCTATGGAAGGAGAGTTTGGAAAAATCGCCAAAAAAAGGCACAGGTTTTGTTTAGGGAAATGGTTATGGTTGTTACGGCCATCAAAGTTATGGAATATTATTTTTAAAAATATTAATTTTATTAATTTAATTAATAAAAATAATTAATAATTATAATTATTAATTAATAACTGATAAAACAATTTATGTTTAAGAAAAAATGTATATCAATTCTCAACTTTAAAAAAAATTAAAGTTTTAACTTTAAATAAAATCATTTTATTTAATTAAAACTCAAATTAAAATTTAAAAATTTACCTTATTATAAGTTGATATTTAAATTTGAAAACTAATTATATTAGAATATATAATTAGTTCTTAAATTTAAGTACCAACATTTAATATGATAGCTTTTTAAATTTTAAATTAAGATTTTAATTTTAAAATATAAGTTGAGATTTTATTTTATTTTATTATTTTTTTTAAATCTCATGATTGATACACACAATCTTCATATGCAAAATATAAGATGGTGCATAGTAGTCTTGATTCTAAAAAAATTTTAAAGTCCCAATGTTAAATGATATCATTTCATTTAATTAAAATCAAAATCAAAATTAAAAAATCCACCTTATTAAATATTAACTTT